TCAAGCTAAATTCAAGGTGGCCTGAGACCACGGTTTGCTGCCCTAAAACACTCTGTTCAGGCCACCTTGAAAATAAAGGTCTTGTAGCTACAATTCTGTTCCCAGGTATGGCGCGCATCAGGCTTCACAGACAGTGGAAATAGCTTCTTCCCGGCTTTGCACTGCGAATCAGCCCCACAAAAGCGCGCAGCTTCTCAGGTAGTCAGTTGTCATTTGGTAGACAGTCGAATTGCATTTCGACCTCACTTTGTAGAGTCATGTTGGTACAACATGACCCCTCAATACCCTCATTTTGTAGAGATAAAAAGTCAAATTCTCTACAAAATGACATTGGGGCCAATCATTTTGTAGAGGGGATCATTTTGTATAGAGTCGACGCGGTGTTCTCTACAAAATGAGGGCCTCCACTCCCTCCTTTTATTCCAAGGGAAATCTTTTTGGAGAGGTGCCTCAGAGAAAAAAAATGCGGTTCTGTGTTTGCACCCGGGCCAACACAAGGAGACTACTAGTAGCTTCTTGCTGCTAGTCGTAATGCCCTTGTTACTAAGTAGCGGTGCCCTTGTTACTGGTAGCATCAATTTTTGTTTGGTTTTTCCTTGAATGTGCAGGAGCTACGGGCAGAGAACGAGACGATACAACAACACCTGGGAGCGCTCACCTCAGATGTCCTGAGCTCAGACTGGTTTTGGATGGTGCGTTTGTGCGCACAAACCAGGCCGATGGCGCGGCGTTGAGTGAGTGTAAGCAGTACTAGGAACAAGGTTCGCTACTAGTAGCAAAGGGCATCGCTACTAGGAGCTAGGACGCTACTAGGGGCGCTCCTGGCCTTGCTGCTAAGAACAATGAAACTACTAGTACAGAGCGCATCAGTTTCCAGTTTGCCGTGTTGTCCTCAATGCGTGTGGGGCGTCACTGCATCACACAGAAAAGCACGGAGCCATGAAATGTCTCCAGAACCTTTGGCTCAACCTTGGGGCATTCCAGCGTCCTCGCACACACGGCTTCGTCGGGCTTTCTTTAGCTTTCACGGCTTCGTAGGGTTCATTTCCAAGAAATCAGAAGTCGGTAGCTTCCTTTGTGCTACAACAACTCGGTAGCACATAGATGCAACAAGAACACACTGGTATACTTGGTGTAGGTGGGTGCGCATCCACGCATGGGAAAGGCAACATGCTATTAGGAAATAAACGCGTCGGAGAGAAATGATTGCTATTAGGTTGGAGGCCATCGCTATTAAGTTGGAGGCCATTGGCTCTAGGTTGGAGGGAACAAGGAAGATTTAGTTTTCACAAGAAAAGGTCTAATATAGTTTCTCCAAACATCTAGGAACCAAATCATTGGTGCGTGAGCTATCCTGCGTCCTAAGTAGTAGTTTAAGTAGCTACTAGCTACCTCTCCCTTACTTAATTAAGTAGGTACCTCCTTAATTAAGTAGGGAGGCGGGGAGGGGGCAAAAGAACGGGTCTAAAGAATAGTCTAAAGGCTTTATCATCACATGCGGGCGTCTCGTTCCTTGCATGGATGCGGCTGCAGACTCCGAGGAGGATCTTCCAGCACTTTTTGAGGAGTCGGTTATATCGTTAACTCCACCCCCAAAGACTTTGGCCAGCAGATCTGGTTGGAAAGTTGTGGAAGAATCCTTGCATGATGGGGGTGCTATGCGCTGGATGGTCTGTGAACAGGATTATTCTTTGGATCAGACACGGGTGCGTCTAGTGCCACGTTGCAACGACCAGATGGATTTCCAGCGGAACCACTTACGAGCAAGCTCCCATCAAATCATGGCATTGGTGGTGGCCTATGGGCTGAGACAAAGCTTCGAGCCCAAGGGTCGTGCCGTGTGCATCTTGGGCGGTGGTGGAATGGCACTACCCATGGCACTTCTAGAGCAAGGAGTGCGCTCACCTATTCATGTGGTAGAGCTTCACGAGGTGGCAACTTGGTCACCAAGGCAAAGCCTTTGGGCTTTGATTTTGAGGGCTTTTGAGAAAGCCTCCTTTTTGGGGGGTCATTGAAGTGTCGTCCATCGAGCCGACGAACTTTCAAACAAGGTCTACAGATGCATAGAGTTCATTGTTGTGTATGTTTTATCAGCTGCCTCCAATATAAGGACTCTTTTAGAAGAATGATTGCAGGGCAGTCCGGGTTTTGATGGAGGGAAATAGTGTGTGTGTGTGTGTGTGAGTGTGTGACACTTTTTGGAATCATAAGGAATCCGTTGATTTGCTTTTGAAGTTTTACTTAGTAGGGAGTGCGGCATGATTGTGGGACCGCACTCAACGAAGCTACCACAATCATGGGATACCGAGTCTGATCAACTCGGCGTACCTGCAGTTTTGCCTGAAACATTCCTACTAGGCCCCGTTCTTAACTAGAACAAGACTTCGGCCATTGCAGCGGTTCATCATTTTTGAGGTTTCGAAGACGTTCAGAAGGCCATACATGCACGCACCCTGTTTCTCTAGGTTTTTTACTTCGGCTGGCGTGTGGCAAGCCGCCGTGTCAGTACTCAATATCTCGAGTGTGTGACACCGAAGCCTACAAAGAGTTTAACGGCGCACTCTGTGCACACTTTGCGGCCAATCAGGTCATTGACTTCGCCAAGACCTTCTTCGGAGCGGAGCATCCGCAGCTCATGGTGCAGCAGGGAGATGCCCTGGAAGTTTTCCAACGAGACAGTGAGACAAAAATGGAAGGCAGGGCCAGGTATTTGGTGCATCGAGCAGTTTTTGCAAAATGTGACCTTTGGACGCTAACGGGCACGTGGTTATTTCGGTGCGCTTGAGGTGCATGACGGTGAACCAAAAGATGCAGCAACTTTACCCTGAAAGGCCACGAGGGCATGTTGCCGGAGAAACTGTCAACCATATTGGTGGACATCGACTTCTTGCGTTTTCCTCAGGCGTGAGAGACATGTTTTGGAGCGTTCTTGGGAAGTGGCACCCAATCACTAAAAGGGAAAAGAACCTAGAGGAAATAATCAAAAACCATTGAACGCATATACACTTGGAGGTGTTTCTGCCTGGAGTTTAACTTTGTCTAAATGCTCTGTTGTGCTTACACCGCTTAAAGCTATAGTTGTTTTCTGCCCCCAAAAATCGGCTCCATCTGGTTCACTTGTTTGACGGCTTAAGCTGGTTTCAAGTTCCAGCCCAGGTCCCCGAACGGTTTCTTTCCGCCAGCTGGTGGAGCTTCCTGTGGGCCAAAGACCCAACCCTGGTGGCAGTGAACGCGATTGGCGCATCCCGCCCTCATCTGGAAGCTCTGGCTGCAGCGGCGACGGTCAAGAGTGGCAGTGCGTTGCTGCTGGCGCCGGCCGAAGCTGGTCATTGCCGGTGGTCCCCGCTGGTGCCGAAGCCCCAAGTCTTGTTGCTGGGAGGCCACTCCGCGGTGGCCGAGTTCACGACTGAGCGATTGTTGGAGACCTCGGAGGCTTTGGCCCTCAAAACGCCCTGGGTCTTGGTTTTGGCCTCGGATTTGCTGAAGGATTTGGCCACCAAAGGCGGCGCGGCCGGCTCGAGCGAATGGTTAGTTCAGCCAGTTCAGCCATATTCTGGATCTCTGAGATCCAAATGACGCGTCAAAAGACAAATGGTGCTCCCACAGAGTACCGGTCAGCGAGTTATGAGAATCCGATGGCCTCCAACCTAATAGGGATGCCCTCCATCCTAAGAGCGATGGCCTCCAACCTACCATGCAAATGTTAGCCAGAACCTGCAGAGTTATGAGAATCCGAGGTCCACCTTTTGGCTTCTCAACTTGCATCGCGAAAGGAGGCTGACTGAAACGCTCGAAGGATGTCAAGATTTCATCACCTTGACCGTCCTGTCCTTCTGTTTCTTCTTTATAGTAATAGTTTTTTTCCTTGTCCGGGCCGGGGCAAGGTTATGACTCTGACTTTTGCCTGCGCTTGAGGAGGGCCAGTTAGATGTCAATAGTTGCCCACCGTTGCACTTTTGGCCCCACAGCTGAAGCCGACCAACCAGACATGTTCGGCAACCAACGATGAACAACACCAATCCACTGAATAAACTTCCAACAGTGACCTCTGAATAAGTGAGTTTCCTTTGAATACCGGCCATGATCGCTGAGCCTTTGTTCAGCGGCTGGCTCTACAAGGAGTCTACCTGGCTGCGCAGGTGGAACCAGCGGTTTTTGAAGCTGGATGTCCCTTGGGCAAGCATCCTTAATACTAGTAGCGATGCACCTTGCTACTAGTAGCTTCTTGCTACTAGTAGCTTCTCGCTACTAGTAGCAATGCCCTTGTTACTAGTAGCGATGCCCTTTGCTACTAGTAAAGAAAAGTTGCAGTAGTGGCTAATGACATCTAGGGTCCCTAAGAGCGCTGGGAGGATAATCTTCCACAATTACTTTCTGTACCAGCCAGGTAGGTACGGCAAGTGTGAGCAAAAAAAAAGTATACAATGATACTTGGCTGCCTGAGGCTAATGGAGTGTTGAGGAGCTACACCAAGGACCCTCACTCTGAGGTGGGGGAGATTTCTGCTCGTTTGGCTGCAAGATTCTCCGCAACATTAAACACTCTGGAATAAGAAGTGGATGGCACCGCCTGTTTGTAGAGGAAACTGGTCATCCTTTCCGGGCCATTTTTCACTTCCATGATTGTTTCAAGGAGTGTACGTACGCATTTTGCATTTGTTTCGTACGTACTTGCAATGAGGTGTTTTAGATCCAGATATATTTCAGTGTTTTTTTTTTTGGGGTGAACGTTTGATCGGTCAGGCCTTGCAGCCGCGCTGCCCTGATCTCACGGCCGAGGCAAAAATGCCGACTCGGGACATCGGACGACGAACGTGTCGAAGCGAGGTGAAGCGAGGTCCGCAGCGAGGTGAAGCGAGGTGAAAGGAGTGTCGAAGCGAGTTTTCGCACATTTTACGGTTTTCGTTTCAAGATGGAAGTGGTTACAAGCAGGGAAGCAACATTCTGTCTACCAAACTTTGTATCGCAGGTCGATGTGCTTGATTCAGAGATCTTCGAGTTTGACACCTCTGGATTTTACAGCTTCGATGCTCGATCAGTGTTGGAGGCAATTCACCATTCTTCTAAGAAAGGCGCGACGTAGAGTCGAGATCTATAGGGCCCCATGACCGGAGAGACCTCTTTGGCAGAACTGGATTTATCAGCCACTTTCCACGATTACCACATAAATGGAAATAATATATATATATATATGACCACCATCTATTTCTCTTCTAAATGGCGTCCTGAGGAAATTGTTACGCGGCACCAGCGGCTGCACCTGGGTACTCGTGATGCGTTGATACGGAGTTCATGGCTTTGCGTGCTCAAGGTGCCTGGGTTTGACAAACCCAATAGCGATGGCCTCCAACTAACCTAATAGCAATGACCTCCGTGCAGTTTGCAGTGGACCCTCACATTTCACAACGCGTTTTTCGGGCTTCTCCTTGATTCATTGAGATTTGGCCAAGTTTGCTGTGATGCCACCTCTTTGATAAAGTCAACTTCTGAATCTGGATGTTCTCTTTACCATCTGAGAGTTTGATGTCGTCCTATGCCCTAGGAACAAGAAGCTACTAGGAACAAAGGGCATCACTACTAGGAGCAAGGACGCTACTAAACTAGTAGCCCCTGGCCTTACTACAAGCAAAAAAGAAGCTACTAGTAACAAGGGCACCGCTACTAGTAACAAGAAGCTTTCTGTTGAGGCAGTTGCGGACAAGCGGCGGCCGCAGATCTTGCGTGAGCCGATCGAAGTGAGCATGGAGACCGAGCCGAAGCCAGTGGAGACGAACATCGAGACTCGAGAAATGGCCACGCAGACGATCGAGTTGCCCGAGACGAAGGCAGAGAAGAGGGAGAATGGCCTCCAACCTACTAGCAAACCATATTAGATTAATTATATGTTAATATGTTTTTCCTAATAGCGATGGCCTCCAACCTAACTGCAACGGCCTCCAACCTAAGGCGGAGAATACGGAGAATGCGGAGAACACGGAGAATGCGGAGAACGAGAAAACAACTGGAGCGCCAGGAAAGGGAGGGAAGGGCAAAGGCCCGCGTGGCCCACCCCCACCCCCACCGAAAGGCAAAGGCAAGAAGGCGTCTAAGGACAAGGAGGGAAGCGCAGCAGGCAAGGCGAAGGGCAAGGCAAAGGGACCTCCCCCACCACCGCCTTCCAAAGGCAAGGGCAGATGCACAAAAGATGGCAAAGGCCAAGGCCAAGGAGCCAAGCCTGCAAAGGAGGAGACGCTGTCAGTCGAGGCAGGTTCCTCAGAGGCAACCCCCATCTCTCCAGCAACTTCAGACCAGCTCCCTTCCTCTCCCAACAAGTTTGGTTACAAGATGCACTTGGGCTTCAAAGAGAAGGTCGCTGCTTTCGCCGGTCTCGACTTCCAGAATGTGAACTTGAAGCCTGATGATTGGGAGAACTTGCATGTACTCTTCGACCGGGAGCAGGTGACAAAGCAATCCAGCCGTGGCAAAGGAGCAGCATCCTCTGACCAGGTGTGTGTTTACGACTCGTCAACAGCTCGATCACTCAGCGAATTGTCCGCAGAGGGCCACCTTTCAAGGTGGAAGAATCAAGCGTCAAGAGTGTTGAGGTAATTGGGGGATAGGTTTACCCACAATTACCCACAACCACCAGAGTGAATCAAAGAACATAACTCTTGGCGTCTCAAACGTAGCCTCATCTCCAAGTGTTGCCAGTGTTGCAAGGTATTTTCCTGAAGAAGAAGGAGATGGAGAACATAGACCCACACCACATGTGCCAGGCCTTGTGGCGCATGCAAGCGAAGGTGGCGAAGCTAACTGTTGAGGACTGCGGTATGGTCCGCTATGCCACCAAAGAGAAGAAGATGGTAGAGACTTGGCGTTTGCTTTGGAGTTATGTGGAGTCCTAGGACCTAATAGCGTCAGGAGCCCCTAGTAGTAAGGCCAGGAGCCCCTAGTAGCATCCTTGCTCCTAGTAGTACGGCCAGGAGCCCCTAGTAGCGATGCCCTTTGAGTTATGTGGAGTCTCTGGACTTTCTTCGGTTTGAAGCCTATCAAAAGCGCAACTCAGGCGTACGCGGGCCTTGCCACACGCAAGGCGATCCTCGAGTACAAAGTGAAGGACGGTGACATCACGCCGGAGGAATCTCAGGAGTATCAGACGATCTTGAAGTCTCCTGAATATCAGGACTGTTTCGATCTGTTGAGCAGCCCAAGTTGTGTTTTCACCATGCGGATGGCTTGACACGAGCGTGGTGAATCTACCTAATCTCGTTTAATCTCGTCTGGGTTGGAGGCCATCGCTAGCAGGTTGGAGGCCATTGGATGGCTAAGCTAGCCCGGGCCAATCTCGCAAAGCTTCAGGCGATCCAGATGTTTCGAGACCTGGAGAAACGTGTCCTGAAAATTCTTCAGATCCCGCAGATGAAAGCGCGATTGAGGAGGGGTGAAAGACGTGCAAGTGGAAAGGAAGAAAGGATAAAAAAGGCAGGAAAATGAAGGTCAAAAGGACACTGCGGAACAACATGAACACAAGGAATGGTATAGTGGGCAGTGCTGGTGGTCTGAAAGCCTTGAGGCTCATCGCATAGATTGCTAAGCACCGGTCATGTGTTTGTTTCGTGTTGTTTTCCCCGAAATGTTATGTAAGTAATGCTTCCGTAAGTTTCCATCTTTATGACCATTCGTAAGTCAAGTCATTTCCCAATTTCGAGTGCAGTAATGTTTTGACACACCCTCCGGACTCCTAAATGTATGTTCACGTTGTGGTGCAGAGGTTTTCTTCAATCCTTTCTGTTGGCAATCCTCTAAGCACATGGTAAGCTGAATGCATAGTGGGGCTATATAATATACCTTTGGACAAGTGGAGGGCAGGTTGGATAACGCCAAAGCCGACACAGTTGGCTTAGTGGATAGCATGCACGCTCATAATGGAAGCGGATGGCCTCCAACTCCAGGATGCTCGAAGTCATGGGTACTTGGAGAGAATCGGCTCGGATGCTCAACAAGAACTTGAACCTCATCCGTGGAGCTTGTGAGGAGTTTAGGAGCTCTCAGACCTTGAGGTGGGCCAAAGAACATATGCTCACCATCGCGCACGTTATGATGTTACTTAATTACGATGTTATTCACATATTATATTGACTGAGGCCAAATGTGACTTATAATTTCTAATGTCAGCATGTTTAATGATCAATACATATCAATAACGCTATAACAATACTCTATATATAAATTATATAATTGTTTTTTTTTTTTTTAAACTGAAATGCTTGTGTAAGACTTCTCCGTTGACTTTGCTCGTTGACTTCTATGCGAGGGGTTCTTCCTTGATACGCTAGGCAGTTTTTTTCTCCGCTACTAAGTTACTTGCCTGTTGTTTGGGTAGCTTCTTTTCTTCCTGCGCTTCCTTTCTTTAAGCTGTTTTGTATTATTTTGTCCCTTCTTCTTGGTTTGTTAGGACCGTGGTTCATTTTTCTGCTCATTGACCTGTTCACATATGTTTAGTTTAGCGGTTTCAGGCTGTATTATCACAACTTCTTTCTCGCTACCCGCCCTACCTCACCTACCTCCACAACGCCCTGCCTGCTCCAAAAGAGAGTGAAGTCAAACGTCTCACGGTCGATCACGCACATCGGAGGCATGTTCTCGCTTTGACCTCCTTGATCTACAGCAAGGTCAACTGGGGCGATGAACCAGACACACCGAGGCGCTTTCATGCGAAGTCGGCCTCCAACCTAATAGGAATGACCTAGAAGCGATGGCCTCCAACCTAATAGCGATGGCATCCAACCTCATAGCAA